AAATCACAAAAGTAAGAAAAGAGTAATAATAGCATCATAAAAGTGAAAAAAGTACAATATTACGAAAGTGAAGAAAAAAAGTACAGACAACAGATAGCGTCACAAATAATAAACTACGTATGAAAAAAAATAGAAGATAACTATCTTTAAATGCTCTAAACAAAGCATGTTAGTTTTTCGTCTTAGTAAAGTAAAATTCTATCTCGTGATCGATGATGATTGGCCGGGCATGCATGAATCGTCATGAAACCTTCCCTCATGCAGCTAGATAAAAAATAAAATAAAATAAATGTCTAGCGTTAACATTGAGAAAAATATGAGTCGTACCAAGGAACAACTAGATTCTGGGCTCTTCAATTTGTAATTTATCGAACTTAATCCTTGGAAAATTTATATATTTGAGACCGATAAATTATAAATTTAAAAGCCCCAATTCTGGTTTTCCTCCTGCATCACTCATGTGAATTAATGAAAGATTCTACTCAACATCCAACAAAATTGATGTCCACATCTACATCTCATGTGGTTACATCCTCCATTTTTCTCAATTCTACTCTTACACTTTGGACATTGCTTAAATTGAGTTACGTAGGATTCAGATGCATTTTCGGCATTTCGAAGTGTTGCTAATCTTTGCTCTTCCTCTTGTCTCCTACGCTCTTCCTCTTGTCTCCTACGTTCTTCCTCTTGCCTCCTACGCTCTTCCTCTTGCCTCTTACGCTCTTCCTCTTGCCTCCTACGTTCTTCCTCTTGCCTCCTACGTTCCTCTTCCTCCCGTCTTCTGCGTTCTTCCTCTTCTCGTCGCCTACGTTCCTCTTCCTCCCGTCTTCTGCGTTCTTCCTCTTCTCGTCGCCTACGTTCCTCTTCCTCCCGTCTTCTGCGTTCTTCCTCTTCTCGTCGCCTACGTTCCTCTTCTTCTTGTCTTCTGCGCTCTTCCTCTTCTCTTCGTATGCGTTCTTCATCTCTTTGTCTATGTTGTTCTTCTTGTTGTCTACGTTCATCTTCCTGTTCTCTGCATTGTTCGCACTCAATGTCAATTGGAAGTCCGTGTACAACACAGGACTTTTGCCCACACAAATTACAGACCATTATCGGAACGTCTTTAATAAAATATATTTAAAGATAAAGCAATAATGTTGATAAGAATATTTAAACAAATGTTTAATATAACTTACTTTCTTGATAATGGTCCTGCCCTGATCCACATTTCGGATTTAAGCACCATTGAAAGGTAGGAATTTGCGATAATGCAAGATTTAGCAAAAATCTTTCATACCTGAAGTAAAAATGCCAAGTTAGGATTTTGTTTTCTAAAGAACAAGAAATAATGATTCATATGCTGTAAGCATACCGTCTAAATGTCTCCTCACTTGCGAATTCTTTTATATCTTTCTGATTTAATATTTCGTTACATCCATCTTCTGGGCATGTGATTTTAACATTTCCATTATCTTCAAGTTCATGTTTGATATATTCCCCTATACACTCACGACATATATTATAATCATGGCTACATTGGTCAGTAATATTCAAAAAGGATTTGATATCAACATTCTCAGTGCATATTATGCATTCTTTTTTTACATCTGTCTCTTGCAATTGTACTATCTCTTGCAATTGTAGTGTCTCTATCTCTTGCAATTGTAGTGTCTCTTGCAATTGTAGTGTCTCTTGCAATTGTAGTGTTTCTTGCAATTGTAGTGTCTCTTGCAATTGTAGCAATTGTAGTGTCTCTTGCAATTGTAGCGTTTCTTGCAATTGACATTGTTCACATTCAATTTCAATTTGAAGTCCATGCACGATACAAGATTTCTTTCCACATGTATTACAAACCATTATTGGAATATCATCTTTAGAGAATCATAATTAAAAAATTATATG